GCGCTAGCCTTATCCTACTCTACGCCTAGACTAGCTAGGATGGTATAAGCCTTGAAGGGACGAAGGTCCCAATGAAAAACAACGTCGATCCTTGATAGCTAACATTGTCTATTTAACATCAAAATAATTCATTATTAGACCTATAGTTGTTTTTTGAATTGTACTCCACAAATCTCAACCGGTATCACGCACAACTCCAGTAACGTCTCGTATCTATTGTCGTGACGTAATGGCTCGCTGGCTCACACTTGGGATGTCTCGCACTTGTGATCAAATAACACGCTGGCTCGCACTTTGGCAACACTCTTTGGCAGTCAACTCGCCCCTAGAAAACCCGCCCTTGGAAACTTGCCCCATAAAAAAAAAATTTACACTTCCTAGACCATGCAGTCTTCAAAATAAAAATTGTAACCTTTGGTAATCAACTACATTTTCCACATACATAGAAATTTTTGAAACTTTATTAAAAAAAAAAACATAAACCATAATTCACCATTATAGACACTTTTTGATAAAAATGAAAAATTACGACTTTGTTACCCAATGAGAAGTGTTCTAATATAGACAATGGGTCGTGTCTCATATTATTAATATTTTTATTATTCATTATTTTCATAAATAATTTTGTTCGAAGAACATTTATATGTAGTTGTACTTCGCAGCACTTCACTTGCAATTTGCAATTTCTAGTTATAATTGTAATAGTTTGTATCTAAAAAATCAATTTGTTTAACCTACTGTTAAAATAAAAGCGAAACGAATAGATATAAGAATAGTCCTATCCCGTACTTCACAAGATTACTCAATTCGATAATATAACAATTAATAACGATTAATATAATTATAACAATAACAATAATAATTAACTTGATGTCGAGAAAAGATTTAATTTGAAACGAAGCAACAATATCATGATTCCTAAAAGAAAAACAAATTTGTTATTTGATTTGACCTACTCATCCTGATCACTCAATTTTATGGTCATTTTTATTTATAATTATTGCAATATTTATTTAATCGATTTTTACACGAGTTTGTAAATTTGTATTTTTATCCTGTTGTCTTTTTTATCCCTTTTTTTTTTTCTCAATATATGCTATATTTTTATATTCTCTTTAAAATTTTTTAATGTTTGTGAATTTTTAATGCCTTTTTATTAATTTTTAATTGATTGTAAATTGTGAGCAATTTAGCCTTGGCTACAATTCACTTTTTGTCAATTGCTTTCTCCTTTTTGTATCGTTTTGAATAAAATATACCATGAATAATTAAAAAAAAAAACATGTTGCACAGACTTCCCACAATTTTATAAACTAAGCTAGTCTAGATAGGCTAATAGTGTACTAGTTATGGCTAAATATTTTCAATCAGTCTGTTTCCGTGCTAATTAAACTTCAATTTCGCTAATCACATTAATATAGACGATATTGCTAAGGATTTATTTCCACCACCCTGAGATCATGTTCTAATGATCTGTAAATGATGTCTTATAAAAAAAAAAAGTTTACTAAAAATTGCAAAAATGGCTAATGATCAATTGTGCATTTGTATAGGCTTCTTAATTATTATGTATAGGTGTAATTTTGCCCTACCTACCTGTAAATGTACTGAGTAAAACAGTGATCTGGAGATTGTGGGTTCGAGTCCTACCCGAGAACAACTTGCGATTTTTTTTTCACAATTGTTTTCAAACGTACTGAGTATTCAGTACATTTACATGTCAGGTAGGGCAAAATTACACCTATATATGTTTCTCTTGATGCAAATCAAGTTATTTGTCTATTCCATCACGACAATAACAATTCCATCTTCTTATTATGACTATAATAGCCACAATAATAGGCTATTAGGCTTCTTTTCAGGATAGCATAGTAATATACACCGTTCATGAATTTCAGATAACAAAATAAATTATAAATGGCTTGGTTTATAGAGTTGTTTAGGTGATTTAATACCAGTTAAATTGATACACTCCATGATACAGATTGATGTTAAAGTGGCCATACTTAATTGTTTAGTAGTACAAATTCACCAAATTTACAGCATTCATTTTGAAAAGAAGCAGGGGCGGATTTAGGGGGGGTGGCCCGGCCCCCCCTTCCCTTTTGGGAAGTAAAAAAAAAAAAAAAAAGAGAGAAAAAGAAAAAAATGATAGCCCAGAATGCCTCAAATGTTATGTTTGGGCGTCTAGAACACAAAAATTGTGTGGGGGCATGCCCCCTGGACCCCCTACAACAGTGTTGTCTCAATTGGCCCAACTTTCTGCCCCCACTTTTGGACATTTCTGGATCCGCCCCTGAGAAGCCCCCTCTTTACTTTGCAAAAGTAGCCTTGAAAAGAAGTGCATCCAAAGGCTAAAAAAAAAAAAATAAAATAAATAATAAAAAAAATAAAAAGCCCAGGGTTTCAATTCGAGGTTTTATGGTATTACAGAAGTCTATCAGCGGTAAACGTAACTTTATAATCGACATGCGCAGTAGCATTTTTAGTCGCTTGCCAGTTGCTTTGAATCGCTACAATATAGAACATGGGCGACTAAAAGCAACTGAGGGCAAATGACAATTTCCAGTTGCTTTTCAGTTGCTTTCGATCGCAAAGTGCGCTTATGTCAGTCTCAGTCATGTGACTCACAGTTGCTTGCCAGTTGCTGGCAAGTTGCCAAAGGTCAGTTGATGTCAGTTGAGTTGAGTCAAGTTGCATACACGACTAGCTTTAAACTTTGATTATGTTGATTTTCTTCTATCTACAGATCGCCTAAAACGCAGAAGAAATTACTGCATGATATGAGTGCAATGAGCCTGTACAGGGAGTTTCTTCATTTGTCTCAAGATGAACAAACTTTAAAAGAAACTGTATTTAGTCTTCAGCAATTGGCACATATTGTTGGTATCAAGGACCCAGTAAAATTGCACAGAAGGAAACTTGGATATCAAACACTGCAAGGATGCTGCAAATATGAAGAAAGCCTTGTAAATACAGACTTTGAATTTGTCCTGGATGACAACACTAGACTTGCTGCCAACCGTAAAGTAGTCAGTCAAAATTCAGATTTTTTTGCAGCGATGTTGAGTGGAGATTTTAAAGAATCCCATCAGACTATTGTTCCATTGGCAGATGCTTCACAAAAGACATTGGAATTCATCTTGCATAAACTTTATGGATGTACTCAATGTTCTGTAATATCTTTATTTGCTATTTCTGAATCAGGTATTCAAGTTGAAGGCTCTGGTAATGTCAATTGCTCACCAAATAATATGCCTTCATCGGAAATTAACTTATCTAAGGAAGAGGTTCCAATGAGTAGCGATGCTCAAAACACAATGACAATGTGCGATACAAGCCCACTGTTTAGTGGTGATCATTCAGGTACTGGCGACTTGAATGAGAGGACAGCAAATGATCAGATTGGAGCTGTGGACATTGATGACTCTAATGTGCTAATGTGCATTGAAGCTATGGTGGTTTCTGACCGCTTTCTCTTGCATAACATTCAAAGACATGTATATGACAGAGTGGTTTTAAAGGTTCTTAGTGGTAAAACAGCACCCTCTCTGTACACATATAGCAAACAATTTGAATATGAAGAACTCAGTAAGGCTTGCCTGGCACATGTTCTGTGTGGTGATAATGTGAATTCAGAGACATTCAAAGCTTTTTTGAAGCCAGGTACTTCATCCTGTCTCTTATACACATCTAGATGTGTATAAGAGACAGATTCTGACATGTGGGATTTAAATGTAAACATGGAAAAAACGAAAGCCATGGTTTTCCAAAAAGGTGAAATCGTTAAAAGTACTGAAAAATGGGTATACAAAAATGTAAATATTGAAATTACACATATCTAGGCATAAAGAAGCTCTAGAGGTTGCTGGAGTGCAGCTATACAGACCCTCACAAAACAAGCAAGTAAAGGCTTATTTAAATTTTAGAAGTATTATAGAAATATTAGTTCAGACATAAAGATGTGTTTATTTGACACGATGGTGCGACCGATCCTTCTTTATGGTTTCGAGGTAAAGAGATATCATAGGATGTCCAGACAATACACACAAAATTTTGTAAAAGTTTGTTGAGGGCTTGAGAAGCTTCCACCAAATACCTTTCTAAATAACTTATTAGAAACTATCGAACAATTTTCACACAGTGATCACATGAAATGTAGTGTTTGTGAAAAGGAAAGACAAGTAAAATACTACTGCCAGGATTGCAGACAGTATTTGTGCTCTACTTGTAGTGATCAACATAAGAGGTATACACTCTTTGTAAATCACAAGTTACATTTACTGGAGGATGTGCAATCAATGAGTCCCTCTGAGATGACTTTGTTACATCCGCCTCTGTGTTCACATCACAGTAAACCTTTGGAGTTCTACTGCACAGATTGTAAAACTCCAATCTGTGTGAATTGTATACTTATGGACCACAATGCATGGGATGGAAAGCACAAATCAATCAACATTTCAGATGCATTCCAAACATTTAAAGAGACTTCAGCCACCTTGGAAAAATCTGCACAACGCTTCATAAACAAATTAGAAGGTGGTCTCAAAGCTGTTATCCACAATGCTGCAAAATTACAACAAAATAAAGACACATGTTTAATAGATATAGACAATCATGTAGATGAAATATTCAAAAAAGTAAAAGAGAATAGAGACAAAATGAAAAATGAAGTAGAGACAATCTACAAAAGAAAAAAGAAGGTAAATGATGTACAAATGGATGAATTTAAAGCAATATTATCTGATATAAAAACAAAACTGTCTTTTCTTAATCAATTATTGAAGAGTAATGAAGGCACTGCAATGCAGTCAAGTGAACCTGTAATTACAGCACTCAGGGACAGAATCAATGAATTACCAAAAACAGAGCCAGATGATAATGGAGAAATTTACTACTTCATAAACAAACGGCAAATGACTTCATTGAGACAATGTGCTATAGGGACTGTAAAAGATTTTAGGGCAGCAGACTGTTTAACACTAAAAGGAGAGGAATCTGTGATCACAGATCAGACAATTATAGTCAAAATAATCAAAACAGATGAACATGAAAAATATGCAAATCAACTGAAGGCAACATGGACACAGCCTACAGGGGAAACCAAAATCTCTCAAATTCAGGAAGACGACAATGGAGATTATTTTGTGACAGGAAAATGCACAAGTCCAGGAGTTTGTAAACTAGATGTGAGTGCTGATGATGAATCAGTTAACCAATCACCAATGACAATCAAAGTAGAAGAGGGAAGATTAGTAAATACTATTAAAATAAATGCAACATATATTAGAGATGTAGTTAAGTGTGAAGATGACTCCTTACTGGTTTCATGTTGGACAAATGAAATGCTCAAGTACAAGCAATCAGGAGAATATATTGGTAAGGTTACACTACCACAAGGTGTGGAAGTTTACAGAATGTACAAAATGAAGAATGGTAACATAGCATTCAGTGATTACAATAATACACCTATCAGAATATGCAATATGAATGGTCAGCTGATTAAAACAATTAGTGAGGGAGCAAAGAATACACCACGGAAAATTCATGTGGATGAGACATCAAATGTTTTGTATGCAGGAGGTTGGTTCAGTAGCTGTGTGTACATGTTTGACATGAATAATGGCAAGACCATCAGAACAATAGGGTCAGAAGGTACAAAAGAAGGTCAAATGAGTGATGTCAGTGATGTTACTCTTACTAACCAAGGACACCTTCTTGTATTGGATAAAGGCAACAGTAGATTACAATTATTTAATAATGAGGGAAGGTTCATAAAAGTCCTTGTTGAAGCAGGTGATGAGGATGGTAAAGTAAATTCTCCAAGTTCAGTAGTAGTTGATGAGGATGACAACATCATTATATCAAGTCAGCACAAACTACAGATATTCAGTAGTGATGGAACTTTCATAAAAAGAATTGATAAACCAGAAGATAGAATCAACGATCCAGAGGGATTATCCATCATTTCCTATCATCCAAGGAGACTTGCAGTAGCAAATACTGGTGACAAAACAGTCAAAATATTCAATTATTAAATACTGACAGTCCACTTGCTTCACTTGTGTGTTTTAAACAATTCAAATTTATAAGTGTAGGAATATCTATGTATCCATTATTTCATATCATCCACATAGAGTTAAGTTATGGATCTTAAACTTAAAATAATTATTGAATACATTAATATCGAAATATAAAGTTGCATAATGTTTATAAACTTGTTAAAATATTTGATTATTGAATATGATATACATAGAGCTGAAGTTATGGTTTTTTTGTAAACTGTTAAAATATTAATTATTCTACATAAATGATATCTATAGAGTTAATAATATCTCTATAGACTAAAGTCTCTTAATATTTTATCTATCGAAGAGGCATTTAAAGTTCAGAAACTTGTACTAGGTTTTAAGATTTTAAAAGGTTTTTGCCCTTCATTTTCTCAGTATGTAAATAGTAGTCAAAGATGTAAAGGTAGACTTACACATTGGAATGCAAAGTCTAATACTTTTCTTAATTCTGTTTACGTTATATTCCCACGACTATGGGAACAATTACCAATAGAAATTCAAAATTATCAATCAATTTCATTATTTAAGTCTGCTCTTACAAAATATCTTCTTTCAATGTATTAATTAACTAATTTCATTTTAAAATTTTAGTATCTAAGTTTAAATTTGTTATTTTTATTTTGTGTTCTATGGAGCAAGTACATTGATTGTTTGGGCTTTCGCCTATTGTAATCTGCCAACCTCAACTGTTTACAGTGTAGTTCTCATCAAATTTGAATCACACACTATTGATCTTATGATTATATATTTTTGTAGTGTAAGTTTTTAATCATATCATGCATAAATACATGTTATTTACTTGCATATTGATGTTAAAAATGTTACTTTTCAATCTATTGGGGCTTTTATGTACAGCCTATCAACTTGTATCTCTTTGATTTTCATAAATTTTTGTATTTGCAAGTTTGTTTATTCTTTCTTTAGTACCTGTATATTTTTTATGGTTTTTCTGTATAAAAAAAACCTAACAAGCACACAACAGAGTGTATATTATAAATACACCTATGGCCATTCATCCATTAAATGAATAAGATGCGATGAGTCAGATTGATTATTCTTGAACTTGAATCTGTGTAAATAATCTGCTTCAAATTAGTGGGACAGAGATATATTTAAAAGGGGGTTTGTAAGCATTTTATTATTTCATCATCATAAAAAGGAATATACTGTATATGATTTAGGTAGTTAAGCTTGGCTTTTTTTTTTGCATTCATCATAAATCTTAATCTGTATACAACCTAATAAATTTATAGATTTTCTTGTACACTTTGACAATAAATTATCTGAATCCCTGGACCTCAGGGAAGAACAGTGTAAAAATACTGAGTATCCAGAATAAAGAAATATTTCTAACTAACAAATCAAATATTTGATCATACCTTTCTTAAACATATTTGAAAATGTCTGATGGTTCTCGGCGAACCAGATGACACAGTAAATATTAAGCTCCGCCTCCTCATCATCTGTGTTCTGATATCAACAAAATAGAAAGAAAAGAGTTTAACAAGTCATCTATTAGGTGTTCCAGATACTCTTTACAATTTATTATTATGATTAATATTGAGACAAAGGAAGTTTCTTCTTGCTCAAAAAATGCAAAGGATATGTTAATAATTATTGTTATAATTTTAAATGTGCCCAGAAATGTTCATATTGCTTTAGATTTTATGTTGGTACAACACCTACAATTGACTTGGTATTAAAATACATTATAAATAAACAAATTAAATAAATGCATTTCAAATTAAAAAAAAATAATAATGAAAAAAACTTAATGTAATAAAAAAAATTCAGTGTAATCTCCTATTCTAGTTATTTTCTCACCTCTTGTTCTGTTCTACTCTGCAGTACTCTGCTTGTTGTATGATCCTCTTAAAGACTATCAAGGTTTGCAATATTCTTCCTAGAATTCTCAATGTTTGTTCATACTACTTGCTTCAAACTTTTTCATATTCTACCCCTGCAATGCATGGACTCTGCTGCCATTGTTTGATATGCTGAGGAGGAATTCAAAACATGACTGGTTGAAAAAGAATCATGTAAGGACAGAAAGAAATATTAAAGTACTTTAACTTTTACACAGATTAATATTAAAATACTTTAAATATTTCACACATGTTAATATCATTATGATTTACTAAAGTAAAATAGTAATACCCCAGCCCTAAACATATTTTCAAATTTTAATTTTAATCTTCATGATGTGATTCTGTGGGGGCAGGAAGCATCTTTAAAAAAAAGGGTTGGGGGTGGGGCTGTTTTTATCCTTCAGAAAACAAGGTGCCGGCAGCTTACACGTTTCATATTTTCGACATCATGTCTCCAGAATAAGGATCTGCTGGCATTGGTGGCGCTATTTTTAAATTGAGGTATTATTGTATTTCTTTTACATCCAACACCAAGTATCTCACAAATACGGGATGGAATGATGCTTTGTAGACTTCATGAGAAAATCCTGTGATTCAACCCAGGACCTTTGGGATTGGAAGGTATGAATCTTAACCACAAAAAAAATTCAGAGGCAAATTAGTTGCACTATGTGGGTTTAGTACTAAAATGACCATTAGAAGTTCTATTGTAATTTTCATATTCTCAATTTTCGCAGCGTATGAATCATTTTTTAACATGGATAGTGGCACACGTTAAAAGCTTATGAAAATATAACTGTAATTATTCCTGCTGTTGCTCCATGGCTTGAAAATTAAAAGTAGCCAGCAAAAAACTAGAAATAAACTCCGAGCTTATTAATAAATATTGTGGTTGATTTTGATATGACAGCTTACCCTGCAATTCTTGTGGGATAATCTGACTCATAAGATGTTTGACGCTCCAACTGAAATTGAACGAAAATCTATTGATATTAATCACAATCATAATCATAATATTTAGGTTAGTAGAATATATCACCTATTTTTTGATAACCTAAAAATTCACAATTAGTACTAAATTACAACTGAAGGATACTTATCCCAAGAAAATATGAATTAGCAAGAAAACTATTTGAGAAAATTTTGTAAACCAAATTTTTCTTAATGCATACAAAGAATGCAATGATACTTATAGCACTTATTCCATTAAGCAAATAATATATCTATTCAACATTACTTGATGCCAATTAATTTTAACATCTGAATGGCAATTCAATTTTAAGATCTTGTACTTTTCTTTTCGAATGACTAATTGATATGTATAATTTTGTTTTATTTTACAGTGTGTTTTATTTATTTGTATCTCATTTAATAGGTCTACAGTATATTATTTAGCTAAGGCATCCAATTATTACACTTCTATAAGTTAACATTAAAAATCATCCTAGTCATATACTGTACTGCATTTGCAGGTCTTTAATTCATCTGTGTTTACCTTTCTTTACAATTTGATTTAATTTCTTTTAATTTTTTTTTTCTGGATGCACCAGCAGGTATCTGATGTGTGCCAATGATATAAAAGTGAATCCAATAAATATTGTATTGCATTTGTAGTGAATGCATTTAACTTATACAAAAATAGTTGTTTTTTTTTGTTGAATAATGCTTCTTTAGAATTATCAGTCACAATAAACTTTGTAAAATTTTACGTATGTAGAAGTACCGGTAAGTAAATAATCAAATAGTGGGCAAATGGTAAAGCTGTGGTTTCTAATCAAAAGAATATGAGTTTGTGTCTATTGATGATCAGTTGTGTCTTTGAGAAGTACTACAATCACGTTATGTTTCCCTGCTGAAAGGTTCATTTAGCCTTAAATCCGGCTGTTCAATTTTTTCATTTGTGGTTTTCTAAAGTTTAAGACAGAAGCAATATCTGCAATACACTCTCTTCTTTTGATCTATATGTTGGATTGCTGTGATTTCATTTTAACATACATTATACCAAATTTATTTAAATATTTTTTTATTGTTTAATTTCTTATTCAATTTTGGATTACAGTTTGCAATCACCAAGACCACCTTTGGGACCTGAAAATTTGGGGTGGTCTCATGGTTGGTCTCCAATTAGAGGGCTAGCTTTGTGTTTAAAAGGTTAAAGTTTGATATTTGGGCCTTTGGAAAAGTAATCTCGAATTAGAGGGGTCTCAAATTGGAGGGTGCACTGTGCTTTTTAATTTAGCATTTTTATAATTATTTTTATTTTATTTAATTATTTTAATTGTAGATTAATAATTAATTGTCTTTATACATATTTTTATTCTGCTTTTCATATAATGTTTTTAATTTAATTGTGTATTTTATTTTTACATATTTTGTATGTGCCTTTAAAATGTTCTAATTGTGTTGGTTAATTAATCATTATTTTTTGGTTGTTGTTTTATATATTTGTAAACACCAATTAAACTGTTCTTTTACAGCAATTTGAGATAACTAAACACTACTTTTATCTAGCTAATGGCATATTTTGCCACTTTAACCTAAATTATTGGAGTTCCTAGTTTTGCTTTGAAATTTGCATTTATTTGTACATTTGGCTACACTGTTTTCCTTGCTTCCCTTCCTGTCACTAATCCTGATTTCAGTTAAAAATAAAAGTTTATGTATTTCCAGTAGAGTGTGGTCGAATGGGAAGAGTTTAAAAGAAAAGCTTGACTTGGATTTATATTATTATTAAGCTATGACAAAAAAATACACTACAGTACCTGAACTTTACAAAAGTTCAAATTCACTGCATGGCTGACTTCATCATGTCACACTTGATTGCTCTCACAAAGAAACTAGCCTATAAGGTCACATGACTAACGATGACTAATCTCTGGAAAAACCCACTTCTATTTTCGTAGAGTCTGCACATCTACAGATTAACAGAGAATCAAAGGTAAATATTTTATTAATTTTTGTTGTTCGATTCATTCGATTCAATAAATAACTTAATGATTCAGATAAATTTGAAAATACTGCTAATCAAAATATAATTGTATCTGAGAGAAAATCCCTGCATATGAAAATATTCAGATTTGAAATATGTTGCTAGAGCTATATCATAAAGCCAACTAATTATTTTGTTTGATATTCATATTAAATATAAGTACATACATGCTATAAAATCAAGTATAAATCAAATACTTAAGTCAGCCCCTGCAAAATAACTATATATTTAGAAAAAATAAATACAATGCAACATCCAAATGGTTTCACCTACCAACCCTAAATCTACATGAATTATTCTCAGATAAAGTGGACAAATGAATCACAATTTATCATTTACAGATTACTAGCTGCAGCGAGCTATAAAATATACTTCTCAGGCAATTGCTTATTTTACCCTCACCATGCATGAAAGTAGCAGCGGTTGCTATAGGATCGAACCTTGTGGTTTGGACACAACTACTACTACCACCAGGTGGGGGCGCTCTACTGGAAATTGAATAACGTTTGGAATTCGAACATAATTGCATTCAAACACGAACATGCGTTATAGAGACGCATATGCGTTTGCCACAAACGCCTTTAGTTAACCATCATTTAAAGGACGCCGCTTCTAGAATATGGAAGTACTTTTCGAGATCAACAACATAACGTGGTGACTCCAAGAGTTAATCTTTTTTAGTGTTTTTAGTGCAATAATACAGTGAGCCTAGTAGTATACAGAATATTGTTATGAAAGACAATTTTCACGAAAAATTCAGATACACTACAATGACAAACACATCTGCATATTCAAGAACTTAAGATTAAATTCAAAAATAAAAACTCCTAGGCAGACATAACTGCAACCTGAATATAAGCAAGGAGGTATAA